GCAAATTACAAATCAAGGCAACGATGAACCCTACACAGAGGTACAACGCAAAAAAAGGAAAATCTCCAGTGTAAAAAACAAACCAATTATTGGGAAAATGACGACTGATCTAAAAGGATTAGGCAAGCAAATTTATCTGCATGTGTACAAATTGGACCCGGAAACTACTGTAGAAAAGTTACAGGAAACAATAAAGCCCACTTTTCCTGAAGCAATAGTCGAAAAATTGACTTCCATGTATCCAAATTTTTACTCATCATTTAAAGTAACTATAAAACAGGAAAACTTGGAATCAGCATATAATCCAGAATCATGGCCAGAGGGAGCATGGGTAAACAGGTTTTTTCACCGGAAAAGGACCATGGAGTTATCAAAGTAGTGCCAAAAAAGACATTAGCTATAAATACTGAGAGAGAAACGGTAAGTCTCTTCCATATAAACATATGTAGTCTTCAGAATAAGGTAGATGAACTATCGCTTTTTATTGGTAGTTATGACTTTGGTGTGGTCTGCATATCCGAAGTTTGGTTAGAAAAAAACTTATTGGAAACAATAAACTTAAATAATTATACACTAGCAAGCAGTTTCTGTAGGAATAAGAAAACACATGGGGGGGTGTCAATATTCATAAAACAGAATATAAATTTTAAACTTATAGACATTAGCCATTATACTATCGAGTTCCACGCAGAATTCTGTGCATCTTACATTGAAGCCATAAACTCACTTGTTGTGTGTTTATACAGGTCTCCCAATGGCGATTTCAATATGTTTCTTGAGGCTTTGGAAAGGCTACTGATCTATGCCTCTAGTAATTTTCATAATATTGTGGTTCTAGGTGACTTCAATATTGACTTTAAGAAAAATTCTTTATGCCAAACTGAATTGGCTAATTTAATACACTCCTTTAACTTAAACATCTGTATTTCAGATTTTACACGAGTAACAAATCACTCAGCAACGTGTATTGACAACATACTTACAAATCTGGACGATGGATTTGAGACGGGGGTTGTCGACCCAACCATATCTGACCATAAAGGTCAATTCATAAACATACAAACAAAAACAACAATTTCTTTAAATCCATTATGGAGAAGATCTTACACAAAAAAATGTTTAAAGAAGTTCAAAGTTGATCTTAAAAAAATTGACTTGGGCTTTTTTGAGGATGGTAGGTACTCAGCTGAATATCTGTCTGAGTGTTTGGTATCAGAGTACAAAACTCTAATAGAAAAACATTTTCCCCTAAAAAAATGTCTTCAACAACTTAAACCACCAGTTAAGTGGTTTACAAAATCACTCAAAAGCATGAGAGAGACGCTTTCCTGTCTAAAACTCATTGCAGAAGTTACATGCAACGCAGTGGATAAAAAAGCATATACAAATTTTAAAAGTATGTACATACAAGAAATCAAGAAGACAAAGAGGGATTCCTATGATTTATTTATTTCAAATTCGAGAAACAAGTCAAAGGACTGCTGGAGACTTGTCAATCATGAACGAAATAAAGTAAAATCCACTAAAATAAATGAGTCTATACCTCCAGACACTTTTAATAACTTCTTTGCCACTGCGGCTGAACAAATCATAAAATCGCTACCAAACGCTCAGACAAATGGTGCTAGTGACATCCTCAGGGACGCTTTAAAAAATAAGGGTCCAAAATCATTTTTTATGGCACCTGTAACTTCACAAGAGGTTAGAAAAACCATTGGAAGATTGAAAAACTCAGGTAGTATAGATATACATGACATAAACTGTGTATTGATCAAGGAGACAGCCGATATTATTGCTGATCCTTTGGCTAGTCTTTACAATAAATGCTTAACAGAGGGGGTCTTCCCCACCTTATTTAAAATATCTAAAATAACCCCGGTTTTCAAAAAGGGTGAAAAAAGTTCGGTCGACAACTACCGCCCCATATCCATCGTCCCCTATTTTGGGAAAATATTTGAAATTATTATTAAGGAAAGGTTGTACCAATTTTTGGAAAAAAACAAAATTTTGAGTAGCTGTCAGTTTGGATTTAGAAAAAATAGCTCAACTTTTGATGCTGTTTTTAAAGTTGTTCGCCATATAGTTGAAGGCATTGAGAGAGGGGATTATGTCACCATAACGCTCCTAGATCTCTCGAAGGCATTCGATTGTGTGTCCCACACAGTCCTTTTGGAGAAGTTGAGTCTCTATGGCGTAAGAGGAATTCCTTTATCTCTATTTAAATCATATCTCACAAATAGGTATCAGTGTGTAAGTATAAATAACAAATTATCAAGTATGAAATCGGTGAAGCATGGGGTGCCCCAGGGCTCAGTAATAGGTCCCCTTCTCTTCATTCTTTACGTCAATGATCTCTTTCATTATATGCTTCCTGATCATTGTTTTGCCTTCGCAGATGATACAACTACCATTAATAGTCAAAAGAGCCTGGACGGAGCTCTTCAGCTTAGTCTAAAAAGTGAAATTAAAGCACGAGACTGGTTTTCTCTAAATAATCTTAAAATGAACACCACAAAGACCCAGAGACTCACCTTTTCCACAGGGATTACTCTAGAGGATCGCAAGAGAGTGCAATTATTGGGCATCACTCTTGACAACAGACTGGACTGGTCTTGCCATGTAAAGCAGCTATGCAAAAAGTTGTCTTCCACAGTTTTTATTCTAAGACAAATAAAAAAGTCTGTCTCGTTTAGCATCTTAAAAATGACATATTTCTCTCTATTTCATTCGCATTTAAGTTATGCGACGATTCTCTGGGGAAACTCCAGCTATGCTGTTGCAGCCTTCCGTCTTCAAAAGAGGGCTATTAGACTATTATGTAATGTGGGAAACAGAGAAAAATGTCAACAGCTTTTTATAAAAATAGGCGTAATGCCCTTACCAACACTTTACATATATTTGACATTATTAAAAATACATAGAGAAAAGGATCAATTTACTTGCGGCGGAGATATTCACAGTCACGATACTAGGGGCAAATCACAAATCAGAATTCCAAAATATAGACTTTCCAAAGTGTCGAGAAACTCACTAAACATTAAATTATACAACCTATTACCCTCAAGATGCAAGGCTCTCAACTATGTAAAATTTAAAGCAACCATAAAGGAAACCTTGCTCACTTACTGTTTTTATTCTGTAGACGAATATGTCATGAAAATGGGTCTTTCAGACTTTCATCAGCGTTTCTCTCTCAATTAAACTCTGTGATAATATGTATATGTAATGTGTATGCTGTAACTTGTATGTTGTATGCCTTATGTTATTTATGTTATTTATGTTATTTACATATTTATGTATATATGATATATTTATGTTATATTTATTTTCAGTGGCGGCTCGTGGCAGTAAAATTTGTGAGTTCTGCCAGTGGGGTTTAAAAAAATGTGGCGCAGTTGGCATTTAATTAAATGGTACCTACAGATAATTAATTAAATCATAATTAAATCATACACCACATTCATTCTTACAAAAGAATACAACAACAAACACAAAAATACACAGAATTAACAGTCTTCTAGTTAAAATAACAAACGTGAACGCGAAGCGAAAAACAAACGACCGTGAAGTAGGAACTGTATGTTGGTGCAGCTCCGATTTGGCTTAAATTTCACTATCTTAACCCAGGGCCAAGAGCGGCGCGGGGCAAAATTACGGTATTGAAATGGGAACCAGAACTCGAAAGTGGCCCAGCTTTGTTGTATTGTAAGCGTTAAGCGTTAGAGACCTTTACCGGTCGTTTGGATGACTGTAGTGGCCAAGTACGGCGACACGGCAAATGTTTATAATAAAAACTTTTTATGCAGCCTTGCGTTTGAAATATTTATAGGTACACTGTCGCACTTAAATATTAAATAATTAAAAAAATAGTCAAGTAATAAGAAAATTTTGGGAGTTCTGCAGCTCTGCAGCCCTTATACACTAGCCGCCCCTGTTTATTTTATCTTGACTTGCCAAAAATGTTAAATGTAAACATAATGTGGCCAAATAAATGATTTGATTTGATTTGAATAAGAATTAATGTAATTTTAATTCTGGAACTGAATGTCGTATTTTCTGACTAAAAAATTCAATGAATTAAAATTTGGGTTGAGATAATTTTAATAACGCTACTTGAGAAACACGCAGTCAAATTGAACCAAAATTTTAATTCATCGAATTTCTTAGCCAGTTAATTCAAGGTGCGCGACATTAATTTAAGAAAAAGTAATACTGAAATTATCATTATGTCGCAATTATTTTCTATTATTACTCGTCGACATAAAAATCAATTTACCTGTTAGAAATTAAAATTCTTCTCGTGAAAGAACATATTTTTAAATAATATATTTTTATTATTTAGATTCTGAAGTACTCCAAAAACACGAGACTTTAAAAATTTCAAAAAAAATTGCCTGCGGTGCCATATAGCGGTTCATGGGCCTCACCTTCATGAATGGTCACGAGCCGCCAGTGTAATACATCATGCATGAAAAACATAAACCTCGTATTAAAATTTTATCATACGTACCTTCAGCAACTCTCTCTATGTATCTTAAATAAAATCTACAGCACTTTTAAAAGAGCGTAAAATTTACTTTATGAGACTCGCTTTCTCAAAGCCCAAATGGATAAAACATAGCCACTTTTGGCATTTGGTCCAGGAATAGGTTCTTTATAGAATATCGTATTTTGTTTTCCAAAAAACACATTGATATTTTCAATTTTGGCCAGCTTTTTCCCCTTTTCCGACCACTGTGCGGCTAGTGAAGTTGTTTCAAAAATTATTTATTTTTGTTACCAATGTACAATGTATAAGTTTGTGTCAAAATTAAAAGTGCAAAATAGACTTATTTTGCTTTATAAATAATTAATTAAATTTATAATAAATTAAATTTTTATCAAATTATTTTTTTATCAAATTTTTTTATCAAATTTATTTTTTATAAAAATAATTTTTTATTAAATTGTTTTTTTATCTGCAGGTGTTGAAAATGAAAATAGTGAAGTAACTTACAACGGTGGTGAAGCTAGGGAACGGGTTGAATTTTATATTTTAGGTACAGGTAGTTCTGACGTGTCGTCGGTCTGCTTTCGGGGCTCAAGACAGGTTTTTCAAAATTGCTGGGATTTTGGAGCATAATTTGGATAGGAATTCCACGAAGGGTAAGAATTGCGGGTAAGATTAAATTTAGGCCTCGACAGTCCAGCGTACATTTTGTCATGTAGTTATAATAAATGTTTTACGATTTTTTCCTGGGTTTATGATGTTTTTGTGCTGATACAGATACACATCAAATTATTTTTTTGTGACATTACGTTTTTATTAAATAATTTTTTATCAAATTATTTTCTATACCAATAAAAAATTATTGATGACTGAATAATTATTTGATTTCTATTGATAATGACTTGAATTTAAATGTAATAAATTTTATTTGTATTTGTAATTGTCTTATAATATAAATATAAACTATATCTTTAAATAAAAGTGATCTTTAACGAGTACACCAAACTTAGAAAGTATATAGAAAACGTAAAAATAATGCGTATGTCCAAAAATGCCAGCTAAGCAAGATACAAGGTATTGAAATGTCTTTACATTTTTTTATTTTTTAATATCTAGATATCTGAAAAACTTTTTATTTGTTAATGAGGTTATGTAAGTAAATAAATAAATAAAGTATATTAGCTGTTCCTTTCGGTTTTTCCTAATGTATTTTTTATTTAAATCACCACTGTATTAAGGCGCACAAAACAAAAAAAAATATTTAAATCGTTTGAGGCATTTCCAGGTGTTCCTTTCGGTTTTCCCTAATGTTTTTTTTTTCAAAACCAGCTCTGTATTGAGGCCAACAAAAATGAATGAATAAATGAATGAATGAATTTGTGGTTATGTTTTTTCATTTAATTTAAAGCGCAGCTACGAACGCCATCTATTCAAATTAGTTCAAAGTTGTAAAAATTTCGATTTTTTTTATTTTTCGGCTGTTCCTTTTGGTTTTTCCTAATGTATTTTTATTTATTATTGAGGCGTACAAAACAAACAAAAAATTATTTACATCGGTTGAGTCATTTCCGAGTTCTTGCAGGACTAACGCACGGCGATTCATTTATATATATATACACTAGGGTGTCCCTTATTTTTATTTTTTTAACGCATACCCTCTAATTATATTTATTACTTGTTTATATACTCCCAGTAAAAATTTCAGCTCATTCTATAAACGGGAACCCGTGCCGACTTGCATCTAAACCCTCCGTTAGCCAACGTTAGGCGCGCGCGGTATTTTGTAACACGAAACACTTTAAAACACTTCATGACTGTATTTTTCTAATGATTTTATTAAATATGATTACTAATAAATATTATTGCTTTTGTTTCTATCATTTGTTTCACTAATTTAGTTGATTTTATCCCTTAAATATATTAATATACTAATTAGTATTGCTAAAATATACTGTTATATGAAATTTCAGCTTTTTATAAGCATTTCTTTTCTTGATGTCCTCCCAAAAATATTTCAGACAGTTCAATAAGTTTTCGGTAGTCATCTCTCACAATAGACTCTTTTAGTTTACGGCCTATTCACCAGACCCTTCCGGGTAACTAGCCACTCCCTGTGAAAATATACATTTTTATCAAAGTATACACATAAATAAAACTATATTTTAACATTTGTCAATAATTTATAATATAAGGGTCACATAATAACAAACACAAACCTCGCGATCAACCGTGTTACAAAATACCGCGCGCGCCTAACGTTGGCTAACGGAGGGTTCAGATGCAAGTCGGCACGGGTTCCCGTTTATAGAATGAGCTGAAATTTTTACTGGGAGTATATAAACACGTAATAAATATAATTAGAGGGTATGCGTAAAAAAAATAAAAATAAGGGACACCCTAATATACACACATGATCAAAATTGTTGCATATTTTTGTATTTTAATTTTTGCTTTGTATAACGTTCTGTTTTTTGTTGTGTTGAAATAAATTTTCATTTAATTGTTATAATACGTAAAATAAAAAAAATTTAATATATTAAAGTATATATTTTTGTAGGAAATATTAAAAATAAAATTAAATATAATTCTTAAAAAGTGAAAAAAAATTATTAACAGAAACGATTTAGGTGGAAAAACATATTAAATATAAATATTATTTATAGAATGAAGGTGATTATTTTCGAAAAATTGTTTATAATTGTAATGTACAGTATGTATTTTATTGTCAATAAATTATTTATCTATATATCTATTATAACAATTAAATGAAAATGTATTCCAAAACAACAAAAAACAGAACGTTATACAAAGCAAAAATTAAAATACAAAAATATGCAATAATTTTGATCATGTGTATATATATATATATATACATATATATATATATAGATAAATAGAATAAAATATATTTGTAAATCAAAATGTTTTAATGTTTTTCAATTTTCCTTGTTGTTTTTGTTAATACTCAGCTCATAATTTTAGTATGCTTTTTTCATGTTTAATTGCTATATTGCCATAATTTTTTAAATCTTTATAGCTAATCCAATCATTTTGTGAATGTGTAGTTTTAAATTTTGCTAACGCCTTATCTCTTAATGAAAAAATAAAAATTAAGTTATCCGTTAACCATGGTTCTTTGGTTTTTGTAAATCTGTTTGTTAAGGTGTATGTTTATTAAAAATATATATCAAATAGTCATTTGATAAGCCCAGTTTTGTATTAATACATACCGAGTTAAATATATGGTGAAAAGGTTACTTCCGTGATAAAAAACTGGTAAGTTTATTTTATCGAAACCTCTGTATGAATGGAACATTTCCTTGTTTTTATTATTATTTTTATATAAATTACACTCTATTAAAAAGTGATTCAAGATAACAACACAATTGAGGCGTGGAAGGACCAAAGGGGGTATGTGCCATTTTTTGGAATTTTGAATTTTTTCTTTAGAAACATAGTAAGGGTACCTATTATGTTTTTAACCAAAAATCATGGTACTTCAACGCCTAAATTATCAACATATTTGACAGCTTCTTTCCTTGAGCAGATAATCAAATCAATAGGCCTATTTACAGAGACATGCCTTGGTTCTTCTACAATTTGTTTTAAAGTGTAAGTCAAGAATATAAAGAAAATCTGACGCATTTCTACAAATTAAAAAAGTTAATGTTAAGTTTGAGGAGATCTGCAAATACCCCCCCCTAATAAACAATCCATGGGTTATTACGATCCTAATTGTTTAAAATAAATGCATTCAAAAAGCCATGTAAATAGAACTAACATTTAAATTTAGCGCAACGGAAATACGAATGACATATAAAAGGTAGCGTGCCATTGGTTAGAAAGAACCGCGTGTTTAGGTGGGAAAAGGTAGTGGGAAGAGTGTCGTCTGTCAAATGGGCAGGGAAGATAGGGGAGAACATTCATTCTAGAGATGAGCGATACCGTGATTTTTAAGTCACACTGATATTCGTTACTGTGATTTTTTTATATCAGTGATTTTTAAACGTGACGTGATCACAGGTTTTAAACTGATATTGATGAAATCGCATTAGGTATACCTCGTTATATTGTGTTCGTCCAATTTAACCGTGGTAAATATTTATTTTTTTTGTATTTATTTTTATTTCAACACATAAATGAAACTATTTTTAATAAAAACAGCTTTATTTGTAATATTTTGTTGCTTACGATTACATAAAAATTGATTACTTAAAAACGTAAGTTGAGATCCCTAAACTCCATAATTGCTTTTTCAAATGTTTGCTTTGTCTACATTTTAAATGTTTATAGTTTTTAGGTTTAAACAGTTGGTACCATAGAAAAAGGAAAAGCAGTCTGAGTCAGACCTATTCGACTTTATGCTATCCTGATACTTACGGGCATTTAAAACCCTATTTAAACACTTGTTAACTATTTCCAATTTTTTCGTTCAATTTTTATGATTAGGCCAGTAATGACAGATTTGCCTGCGGCCGAAAATACTTGGTATGATAATAAATATGTTAAATTATTGTGATAAATAGCAATTCACGGTTTTATCATTTAATACTTTTTAATATCAGTGAAAAAGATTATTGTGATAAATACCAACTCACGGTTTTATCGTTGTTTAATACTTTTTAATTTCAGTGAAAAAAACATAATTCGTGAAATATCGCTTATCTCTAAAGTGCAGTGAAAAATCACAGATCACGCTAATTAACAGATGTAAGTAGCAGTCGTTATTCGTGATTTTTAAATATCAGTGAAAAAATCACAGTTCGTGAAATATCGCTCATCTCTAATTCATTCGAGCATTGGAGCAGAGCCGAGCAGCGACTAGGGTTTTAAAAATTGTGTGCGCAGAAAAGTGTTGGAATTTGTAGGTTTGTACATTTTAAATAACTAAATTATTGTAGTATAAAAATTCCCGAGCATTTTGGTATAATTAGTTTACACAAACACCTTGTGTAAAGATGAATATTCGATCAATTGACTTGGCGTCATCGTTCGATCTCTTCCGCCATGATGGCTCTTGTTTTCAACAAACCACGCACGAAATCAACTAATTAAATTAACGTTTAAATTAGGTATTTCGTATTATAATTTATATTCTAAGTTATAAACAATTGGTACCTACGTGTATTTTATCTAATAAAATGCAGGGATTTTTAACGAGTAATTATCAAATTAAAAGAGCAAGAATTTACGGGGTTTTTATCCAATTAAAATAGGCAGGACCGTATTTGATTTTTATTAAGCTAAATGACAGGACAGTACTAGAGATTATTTAATTAATTTTAATAAATATTTCAAAAAGGGGATTTAACATAAACGCTGTGTAAATTAAGTGTATTTAATATCGATTTTCTTGAATATAAAATTGTACTCGTAGATTCATATTTATGTCCAGTAATTAGTTAAGTGATTTTTTGCCAGTCATATTTAATTATTTGGTATAACATTTGGAGTGAGTGGCAACAATGATTGTACGATAGCGACATTTGATTTATCCACTGCCCGTGGAGTCCATGATGCAACAAGCCCATTTTGAATTACTATCCTGTAAATTTTATTAGGTGACGACCGTTTGTTTCATCTGGTACCAACGTTGGGCGACGGTATATTGTTTTTGTTATTTTGTCATTTTGATTACCTAGTATTTTATGGTAAT